TCTAACCCGTTTTCTAGAGCTCACAAAACTCTCTCAATAAGAAAAACTGCAGCGATGTTTTTCTTTTTCTCATAAACGGCCAACCCTAAAAGACTTCACTTCCCTCTTTTTATATTCTTCGAGTAAGTGAATCTTCTAGGTTGCCCTAACTTGATACGCACACTTCCCGTATCTTCTTCCATATCTTCAACTTCCATATTCGCATATATCTTCTATTAAATCCATATGCCACGTCACTCCTAGATTCCACACTTCTTTGAATTCCAAATAACTTAGCTAAAAACTCTCCTCTTTCATTCTCCCCCTTTTTGACTGAATGTGTGCATCCAAGCTCGAACTGAAAAAAAAAACAAAAACAAACAACGCACACCAGTAAATCCAGCAAACACATAATGATTCAAGAAGTTTTACAGACCATCAAGTTATAGGTTCCAAAATAAAGGTGAGCAGATGATCTTAAAAATTTCGATCCTAGACATACTTCCCTAGCTTATACTAAACAAGCTATCCTATTACACATCGACTATGANCAGAACGACTGACTCCTAGACTCCTCAGCTTCGTTTTCACCATCAGTCTCCCCCTCAACCTCAACATCAGCTCCTTGTTCTGATCCATCGGCTACAGCAGCTTGAGCTTGTGCAGACTAGAGTAATCTCCCCCTGCTTGGTTGCCACATTCAATCAAAAATTCTCATGAGTTTAAAAACAACCAAAAGAGAGAGAAACACTTACCTTCAATCCGAGCAGCAATGTCTAGAAGGACTTGAGCCTGCTTCCTGAGATCAGCTACAAGAGATACGCCATACACGTGCCCTGGAACTGGATGTTGTCTCCTACCCATACCACNNTTCGGAANTGCTTTATACGGTTTTACANACTCAGGCACCTCATGTGGAAACANAGGAACCTCTCTTTGATATTGCAGCACTTGATAAATCAGAGATGGAAATGGTAGAGTCTTCTCTGACCCACTGGTGACAGCNNCGGGATGCATGGCTTCATGATGA